TGATTACTTCAGGCTTGATGGCTCTAGGTTGTGGGGTTTATGCATTTCAAAGGGGGTCAAGATGATTTGGATTTGTTGTTCCAGACTTGTGTGGCTATCTGGAACAGGAGTTGGAGAGCACTACTGTTCAAGACTTTCTGCACCATCTTTTACAAAGTGAAATGGTGGACCATGGTATACTGAAAGACCTCCGGATTGAAGACCTCAAGGAAAAACAAAAACCAAGGGATCCACGAGTTACTATGGAGCTTAGACACAAGCAGGTGAGGAACAGGCCCCACACCTAAAAGTGCTGAAGGAAACAATGTCATTTGCTGCAGGAGTTCTATAATTAACCCATGGAATCTCATGCTACGTCATATCACGGGCACAAGCAATTTAGTGTATTTCTCAAAAGGAATGTGCATAACAAATACAGTCATTTCATAGCTACTTAAGCCATCTTATCTTTTCTAGATCCATTAAGATTTTGATTCCTTTATCAGGACTGACAGGAAAAAAGACACAACAGCTAGACACTGAGTTTACACTGGTGGAATGCCACTCTGTTGAATAGAACTCCTGAGCCCTCCTCTGCTCTGTCAGAGACCATAATCCTATCAAGTTCTTTTTTATTATAGAGATGATAGATTGTGTGTTTTGGATACTTTTCAAATGGAACTTGCTCGAGACCCACATTCTCAGCCTAACACCATCCTCAAGGCTCCAGAGAGGAGGAACTGCTTTGACCCTTTGCAGTATTTTCTCTTTCCAGGTCAAGGAAAACCGCATAAAGCGTCAGAAGGAGCTAGAGCTCCAGAGGCAAGAGAAGGCCCTGAAGAAATTAGCTCTGTCTGAGGCTAAACAGCTAGTGCAAGAGGAGAACAGAAGGAAGGACCTGAAGGCGAGGAAGGAAGAGGAGGAGATCCAGAGAGAGATGGTGAAGTTGCGGAAGGAAATGGCAGAGAAGAGGCACATCATGGGAGAAGCGCAAAGAATGTAAGAGGGGAAGAGGGAGAACATAGAAGTCAACCCCTGCAGCTAATCATGCCTTTCACAGGGGCTCTGAATCCCAATGACAGGACATTTCTCTTGTCACCAACTCCAGGTTCCAGTAAACTCTACCTAAAAAATATAAAGCATTGTGGTTATAAAGGAGAGTCAGCTGTCTTGGAGACGTGTATGTTCCTAACATCTATATTTTTAAATAGTTCTGGACACAGAGGCATTACCCTTCATCATTTGAAGCCCCCCAAAGACCCCCCAGCAGCCGTGGAGCCCCTCGCCGACCCCCAGCACAGCCGGAGGCAAGCGGGGCCTGTGGTGGGAGGGAATTAACCCCTGAGTGAGTGGGAGGAGGCAGCTGAGTGGAGCTGGGCCACGTCAAGCCCCACCCAGGCCCCTACTTGGCCCAGCCCCCCAAGGAGGGAGAGAGGTAGGGGGGGTACTCACCAGTCCCCCTCCAGTAGGGCAGGGCCCCCCCTTGCCCGAGAGCAGCGCCCCGCCTTGCCCGAGAGCAGCTTGTCCGATGGCAGGCCCACTGCGCGTGCGCACAGTTTAAAAGGGCCTGCTAACAGAAAGAAAAAAAGCCCCAGTTAGGCTCCAGAGTGGCGAGAGACACGCGGGTGAAAGCCTGCTGTGCCCCCGCTCCCCCGAAGCCCCCCAAAGACTCCCCAGCAGCTGCTGAGCCCCTACTGACCCCTAGCACAGCCAGAGGCAAGTGGGACCCGTGGTGAGAGGAGGTGGCTGAGTGGAGCCGGGCCGGGTCAAGCCTCACCCAGGCCCCTACTTCGCCCAGCCCCCCAGGGAGCCATGCGACCGAAGCCGCGTGAACAGGCTGCGCAAACAGGCGCGCTTGTCTGCTGGCGTGTGAGTTAGTGCGGAGTTCGCACAGGAAGGTGCGCGGGAGGGCCTGAGACCTTGCTTGCGAACCCCCCAGGGTAGATAGTCCCAGCCGTAGCCAGCCTACCAGAGGCATGGCACTGATGGGCATGCGCTACACCCCGAGGGTCTCTGAGGGGTCTGCGGCCCCCCCCTCTGGCACCTCAGAGATGGCCACCCAGACGGAGCCCGTGGTCCTGGGCTCCACACAGGCAGAGTCCCTGGCTCTCAGCTGCAGGGGCTGCCTGTCACTTTTTCAGGCTCTGGGGCCCAGGAGCATGGCCATCTCCCCTTGTGGGGTCTGCTCCCTTTTGGGTCTCTAGCACGCCAGCTGGAGAAGCTCCAGGCCACAGTCCAGAGACTGTGTGCCATCAGGGACTGTGAGCAGGAGATCGACTCCGACTCCTACTGCCAGGCTCTCCTCCCCCGGGAGCTGGAGGGTAGACCACAGTCTCCCTCCAGGATAAAAGAGGACTCCGGGACCTCCCTCTCTCTCCAGTCAGGGGCATGGACCAAGGTGGTCAAGGGCCCTAAGGCCC